CGGATATTCTGTGGTTCTGTGATCTTCAGTTTTATGTTTTTCTCCCAAATTTACCTTCACTCCATTACATCTTTCAGATTAAAACGCTGAAGAATTTTTCCAGGAAGCTCAAAAGTGACTGAGTGATCTGTACAGCTACAGCACTTTAGAAAAATCAGAAATTACTAGCCTCATATTTAACTGTTCCTATCATTCATTTTCTATCCAACCAATGTTTTAGGCATGCCAGTGGATGCAATAATAACTACAATAAAAGCTTACACAGGTTTAAGATTTATCTTCATCAATATTCAAAACTGCAGGATTTGTTTTGATCATTGCTCTTTCTGGAGGGAGACCTACATCACTCATGAAAAGTAACGCAGAATCCTAGAATGTTTTGGGTTGGAACGGATCTTAAAGTCCATCCTGTTCTGTCCTCTGCCAGGGACAGGGACCTTCCACTATCCCAGGTTGCTTCAAACCCTCTCCAGCCTGGCCTTGAGCACTTTCAGCGTCCTTTTGTCAGTCCAAGTCTCTATTGATCAAAGGCTGATTTTGAGGATTAGCTATTGATAGGAAATGCCAATTAAAAGGCCCTTCAGAGCCAGACAATATCCAGCTTTACATTCCTTCAGAGCAAAAATTGGGGGGGGGGTGGGAATGGACATACACGATGGTATTTTAGAAATATTTGAGCATGAATATTTCTATTAAAGCAACACAAACAAGACACTTCAGAGCTATTGAACTGCCTGAGGTAACACAACCCTGCAAATAATGTGAGCTGCAATGCTGGCTGTGGAGGATATTCCTACTCGGCTGGAGCAGCACCAGGCTCTGGGTGCTAGCTGGCCACACAGGACACCACCCTGCTCTCGAGGATGAGGGGAGATGGCACCCTGCATTTGCAAGCAGGCTTTCTGTTTCCAAACACTTCAGGAAAATCACAAGAGCTGGTAATAAAAATTTTAACTGCAGCTCTGAGAGAAACGCTGGGACCTGAGAAAAGCGCATGGAGCTACAACACTTCCGGATCCCAACACAGACGACATCCTCAAAAGCCTCCTGCTTCTCACCATCTGCTTCTTCTGGAGGAAATGGCCAAGCAGTGAAAGCTCAAATGACGCCTCAAGCCTTAAGGAATTTTGCAGTGTTTGTAAGGTCTTCCCAGAGAATGTGTCCATATAATGTATTGCTGAAACTCTTGTGCTAAGTTTAGCCTAGTGTTGGATCTGACTCCTTACTAGGCTGAAATGTTGCCTTTTTTTTTTTTTTAAACTCATTTATTTGAGGATAGAACAACACTGCTAAGGCTCACGTGGGCTGCTCACCCAGCTATAGCGCTGCATTTAAGGGAGAATTTGGAACCATGGCTACTGTCAGATGAATTGAGCACTGAACCAGGTGAATCCACACCACCCTCATAAAGTCAGATATCCCCCTCAGTCACGTTTACAATCCCCAGGCCATGACACCAGGCCAGTGAAGATGAAAGTTAAAGGCTGCAGCACACAAAACCCAACCCTGCTGCATAGGGGTTTGTGTACCAGATGTGTTCTAGATGGGCATCACACCTCCCTTCTCCCATATTTACGAAGCTCATTTTCCCCCATAAGGTGCCCCAGCACTGTGCTTTTATTTGAAATCAAATCTAGACCAAACTAAACATAAAAAGGGAAAACTGCCCTTACCAGAAAAGAGCTGTTTTCAGCCCTTTTTCCCCCCTTTTCTTCTTTTCATGCAGGATGGTGAAGATACAAGAGCAGAGAATGGACATCCACAGCTAAAGCTTTATCATGTGCTGACCTGTGGCATGCTGGCAGCCCTGTGGCAGGCAGCCAGTGGTGAGCCATCATCAGCTATTCATCAGGAGAAGGCTCTGATAAAGCAGAGCTGCCCAGCAGGTATCCTGGTGAATGCATTCTAGGAGCCCCTGTGCGGGGCATCCCGCCATTAAAAAGCCAGGAGATGCCTCGACAAATTCCCCCAGGGCCCTCTGGGGAGGCGGACAAGGAATTTGCCAGCCAGAATTTTAGTGATCCACTCCATGGCTCTGCTCCAGAAGCCCAAGATGAATAGGGAGCTCTGGTGAACTTTGAAGCCTGCAGGTCAAAGTTCTCTCTCATTATCCCCAACCATTTTCTATCGGCAGAGCTCCTCAGTGTCCCAAGGGAAGGGAAGGTTTGAGGCTCTTGAAAAAACCTGACACGACCAAGTCAGGAAACAGTAGGGTGCTTATGTACATATATTTTTCTTCCCCCGTTTTTCTCTCCCCCCACTTTCTCAAAAAGAAAGAAGAGGGATTTCTCTATTGTGTCAAACATCAACCTGGTGGCACCAGGAGTCACTCGTGTAGCTGGCACAATGCCGTGCTCATTTCAGCACGCTGCCCTGCCAAACAGGCCTGACCCTCCTAGGGACACCTCCTCTGCAAGAAAGGGCCTCATTTGATTTTTCCCTCCCCACCCTAAAACCTTTAATTCTGCAGGCAATGCTTTCGAGGAGGATGTCAGGGCTGCATTCTGCAATACCTGTTTTCCATGTTAAAACCACTGCTTCGTGCCTGAGCCAGCACCGAAGGCATCTGGCAGAGACAACTGATCCACTTGTGGCCAAACCTCGAGCGAGATTTAACACAGTGCTCACTATCAGCCACTAAACACTGTAATTGCTCCTTCCAACGCAAAGTGTTAGGCTCTGACTCAAACCACAGGCTGGACAGACCAAATGATCTCCTAAATTTCCTTTTCTGCCACCACTAGAGGCCAGCCCACCTTTCACTGCAATTAAAAATTCACTCCAGAATTAAAAGGGCAACATTTTGATTAACTAAAATTATCTGTACGCTTCAAACAACCCAAATCTGATTAGAGCCAGACTTTACACAAGAAGGTTAGAAAACTGACTTTAGATGGCTAACAAAAGCTCTTTTCTTCACTGCTGCTTAATGGTAGAAATAAGGCCCTGATTTTTCAAAACAATGTAAGAAATTATTCCAGACAGCAATGCAAGCACAGCATTAAAAATTCATCACTTTGTTGGGAAAAAAAGGAACAAAAAATTACTGACAAACAAAAACCAGCAAAACCAAACCAGAAACACAGTATTAGAGCTCTGTTTGGGGGAAGATCCTCTCACCTGGCAATCCCCAAGAAGAAATTGTGACATTCCTGCCAAGAAAGCTGAGTACAAAGTGTACTGGGAGCGTGACCGAAAATATCTGTGGTTCCCTCACAAACCCCTCAGATCCATGCAAGGAACAAACGGCGACACCGAGCCCAGCACCTTCTTCTTGGGGTGGGGGGCAGAGGGAAACAATTACAGGCTGGTAATTACTTCTTCTTTAAATGGATTCTCTCTAATCTCCGATGGATTTACCTCTAATCTCAAAGTAATTACCTGTAACCTCGATGGATTCTCACTCTGGGGGCACGCTGCAGCTCCGGAGGAGCCTGCAGAGGAGAAGTTTCTCCATTGTCTGCCAGAGCAATGAAAAACTCGCACGTGCACGGCCCTGCCAGGAACAATAGAGCCTTTTCCAGCAGCCAGGAAGGGGCCAGGGCACATACAGCAGCCTCCTCCTTGCTTGATGGCCAGCACAACCTAAGGCAAGCTCAGCTGGCACCTCCGTGGGGGCATACAGCTCCCCTGCTCCCCTTCTGGGAGCAATACCAATACACAAATTTGGGTATTTCAGGGCTACTTCACAGCAGAATTAGTCAAATTTAGAGGCACTGAAAGTGACCAAATTGGGCAGAAAGATGTGAACTACATCACACAAAGGAGCAGTGAAAACCCTGCCCCAGAACACAGGGGCTGAGGGACAAGGTTTCTGATGGGAAGCAGCAATGCCTTGAAGCTACTTGTCATCTAATTTACCACATAATTTTTAAGAGACATGGACATCACATCAGACACCAGAGCAAAGCATCATTATGGCAGGACCTGAGACTATAAAATCTTGTGTCAAGGCAGAGAAAAAGTGCTACTTTTGCACAGACAGGGAACAGCAAGTAGGGACAAGCACAGCTTCAGTGTGCCCAGACATGGATGTGGCACTTGGGGATGTGGTTTCATGCTGGGTACAGTTGGGCTTGATGATTTTAGAGTGCTTTCCAACCTTAAAATTCTAGGGTTCCATGCTCCTCAGACATCACCCACCTAAAGCAGAAGTTTCCTGCCAGTTCCAGCTGCAGGTCTATAAATCCCAGAATTTATAGAAAATGCATCAAAACCTTGATTTTCACTCCTTAATGTAAAAGTGCCCGGGAACTCAAGATGCCACCAAGAGGTTTAGAAACAAATGGCCCTAAAAACATTGCAAGTGGCAACCCTCTGATCTGCATACATGGGATGATGATAAAATATAAGATCAGATATTATATAAAACCACACACACGCACATATATTATTTAACCTTGGTGAGGGGTCATACCATGATTTCTAGGGTGGGTTAGTCCTGAGTGAGATCTCTGTGCTCCTTCCACCCCCAGATCCTTATTAGGAATTGTGCCACACACTTTGAGACACAGACAGCATCCTTGGGACAGGGATAGATGCCTCAACTGGCTGGTTGTATGGCGTTTAAAAGTTGTATGTCTATTTTAATGGCTATGACATTTCCAAAAAGCTGCTCAGAATTACTCCTGAATAAACCACAAGCCCTGCACACTGACAAAGACCTCTCCTCACTCTTTACTAGCTCTAGGAAACTTTTTCTTGTAAAACACTTGTTTTTTAACCCTGGGATGAACAAGTCCATAAAAGAATTAGATGAAAATAAGGGCTTAAACATTACAGCAGCCTCTTGGGATGCAAAGAAGCCTCATCCCAGTGCTTTCAGAGGAACTGGAGTGCACTCAGCCCTGCAGCAGGGCGTTTTATTTCACGTGATGATTCTTTGAGAGGGAGGGGAATGAGAGAGAGGAAGAAGCTGCCTCACTGCAGTGGTGTCACCCAAGCCATGCCTGACAGGGTTTTTTTGCAGGGCTGAGCGTTCTGAGAGCAGGAGTACTCACGTGCAGGCTGGGATGGTAGGTCAGCACACCGTTGTCACACAGCGTCACGTATTTCTTCTTCCACTCCTTGTTCAGGGACTTGCCACTCCGCTTCAGCAGCATCCCCTGGTGGGGGAGAGACAGAGAAAAGGTGAAACACCCTCCAGACAACACACATCTGCCTAAGACACAGACAGAGAGAGACGAAATTGCATTTTCAGACAGGCTTTCAAGTTATACTCTTAATTCTGCCTCTACCACAAAGCACGTTCCCTCCATTGGCTTTGTCCAATGGGTAGAAAAACCCCCTTTTCCAGTGAATTCCATGCCTCAGGAAAGCACATTTTAGTGTGACCCACACGGATTCCTAGCTGATGAAGACACCATGCTCTGCATTTCCTTACGCTGTAAAATAAATGATGAGCCCCAGGTTGAGGGAGGATCCTGCTGTGTTGCCTCCCTGCAGCATGCTCCTGGGGATTCCTTGCCCACAGAAGAGCACACATCTGTGTTCTCATTCCCTCTGCACAAAGGTGACACCATCATGGAAACCTCTCTTGGCTACTCATTCCAGAAAACCAAGGAAAGAAAAGAAACCCTGGTCCCAGGCAAGAGTAGCAAAACAAAACCAGAGGAAATACAAAGTGTTTCAAGTAAATCCTGGATAATTTAATGACAGAGGTGTGACTGGAGAGGAAAGGAGCTGGGCAAAGTAAATCACCTTTCCACCATATTCAATCACAGGGATTAATGCCAACAATCACAGAATCCCAGAATCTGGGGAATCCCAGGTTCAGGTTGGAAGGGGTATTAAAATACATCCAGTTCCAAACCCCTGCCATGGACAGGGACACTTTCCACTGGACCAGGGTGCTCCAAGCCCTGTCCAACCCGGCCTTGTACACTTCCAAGGATGGGGTAACCATAACTTCTCATCAATAGCAAAGATTATAAGTCATCATTGTGTTCCAACAGACAGACAGGAACTGCTACTGTACATTGACCTGCTCTCAGCTGCAAAACAGAAATTCACTCTGAAAAATAAAACACCACATGCTGTAGAATACTCAAGGTAGTAAATGAAGAATGCAATTCTTTAAGGAATTTTAATTTCCAAACCCAAGCCAGAAGGCAGTTCCTAATGGATCCAGACAGTATTATGGTTGTGCAAAGTCTTACTGGAATGTCCAGGGGAGATCCTATGGTCAGTACCTCCCACAGGGACACACTGGTGTCACTGATCAAAGTGAACACATATCCATTTCAATAAATCACAACCAGGAATCTACCCAACACAAACTTCAGTTCCCTAATCCCTATAAAACTAGTTTTTCCCTTCTCATTGTACAAGGCAATTAAAATAAAGGGAAAACAGAACATAGATGCCCTACCAAGCACGGTGCTTCCAACACCCATGGAGTTGTTCTTGTTAAAGGCGGTTTACACCTTGAAAACGAGTTCCACTGTTTGTTTTCCCATTAGACCTGCAGCTTTATGAAGCTCCAAAGCCAGGAGGGGACATGGGTCAGTTCTAGTCAAGCAGAAGTCCTGCTCCTGGCCACACAGCTGGAACAGAACTTCAGAGAAGAACCCTTCCCAAATTCAATGCACTCTATGGATGGGACTGTGAAGAAAAGCTCATGCTGGACACCTGAATAGCAGAGTGATCCAAACTCCCAACTTTCTGCCTGTCTGGAGGTCACATGTCTGTATTTTTTTGAGCTGCTCCTTGCTAGAACTCAAACTTTTTCAAGGAGAACGGGGCTTCTGAAACGCCTCCTCACAAAAGCTCCTGCTCATCCCAATTACCGCCTGCCAGCGCTTGGAGACGTTGTTTTCTTCTATCAAAAAATGAAAGCTTATTTCTGCCTTTGACTCTCCTGTTTGTCTATAGGAGGTGATCTGTCTCTTCACCTTTCCCATCTTTCATACCTCACCTGCAGCACGGTGCTGGTGTTTAGGGGGACCCAATTCTAGTTAGTGCTGTGCCGTGGGGATCAAAAATTACTGTTTCCCTGCACTGGTTTGTTCTTCAGACCTTCTAATGGGGAAAAAGCAGTAAGGATCACAATTTTTTTTTTCCTCTGCTCGTTTTTTTTCAAGTTTTGAAGCCAGTAAAATGTATATATTTCATAACCTTTTAACTGCCCCTTTGCTATACAGAAAACATTTCATTACTTACATAATTTTCAATTCATGCCAATTATAATCGCAATAAACAGTAAAAATTTACCACAGTCGTGATTTTTTCTACTTAAAGCTTTGCTACTATCTAAGTATGAATTATGACATTCTAGTTTTGGATCTAAATGAAGAAAATTATTCCAAATGAGGTTTTACCATGTTGTTAAAGCAGAACTCTGTGCTTTGACATAAAAAAAAACAAACAAAAACCAACCCACCCAGCTCAGAACTTAATATAGATGACGGACCTATTTATGCCTAGCTAACAAACTAGACTTCCCAATCTATTTTCTTCAGGCATTCCTTTGACAAACAGAATCATTTTCACATTATGTGATAATTAAAAGTATCTTGAAGTACCTGGAGAGGAAACTATTCTGAATACAAGGAGCTAACTTAAGGTGCTATAAAGCAAAGCAGCCCATATAAACCACGGTTTTTATCCCCAAGGCCACTACTTGCTGGTAATTTTAGAGAACGGTTTGGAGAAATGGTCTTAGAATCACTTTAGATCAGTTATAAACACAATTTAATGTTACCTACACTTAAAAAAAATAAATGGCCCACATATGACAGGAAATGTTACTTAACAGAAAAAAAAATCCCCTTGCTTCAGTCACATTATGGCTACATTTGATCCTTATGGCACATCAGATCCTGTGCTGAGGAAATGAGATCCAGGGGTTCCTGCTGACCTCTGGTACCTCCAAGGCAATTCAGAGGCAGCTTTGGCACATCCCCAGTCACTGCCAAACAGGTACACACAGCACACTGGAAAAATCCCATTGAGTCCCCAAGCTAAGCAGTAAGAGCCTAAGTCAATCTTCTACTCCAAATACCAATTTCTTTGGTCTAAATAATCCCCGTCTCTAATTATTATTAATTGGACTATGCTACTTTCCCTAATTTGTATGAAATGTTTAATTCCTTACAGCCCTCCATGGGCAGTTGGGTGCAGCTGACCCAAAGCCTCCAGACTCAACACCAAGAATTTAACACCTCTGATTTCCACGCAAACCGAGGAGAACTTCACACCTCAAATTGCCTTTTTTTTTTCTTTTTTTTTTTTTTTCCTTTTACCACCTTCCCTCCAAAACTGCAACTCCGTGTTTAAGGGAGGAATGGTGAGTTCCTCCAGCTTGTGGTTTTAAGGAGCTGGAGGAAAAAGGCTCCAAGTGGAGTGCAGCTCAGTCCCTGAGTTTTGCTGGAGGATTCACGGAGTGAATGGAGCTGGCTCTCCCTCAGTAATGTGTGTGCTACGTCTACTCCCAGGAGGTCATTGCAAGCCAAAAGCAATGTTAAGTGTACAAGCTTTAAATAACTTACAAAGTTAATGTAATGAATGCAAGTGTGATCTGAAATCCATCACTCAGTGGCTTGCTGTAGCCTCAAGCTGTGATAAAACACCACTCATAAATTTATATTAAAACTCTGTTCGATAGCAATTATTTACCAACAAAGATTTATTGATTGCATTTGCTGTTAGGGACTGGGGCCCTAACTGAGTCAATCAGCTTAGGCTGCTGAGCTCCAGGGCACCTGGGGAAGTTACAGACTGCCAGCAGGCTCTGCAATCCCAACATTACTGTGGGAGCAGGAGCAGCTAATGAAAAGCCGCCAGCCTCGGATTGATTGGAGCTAAGGTGGAAAAAACCCAACACACCCAGCACTGGTCAAGAGATCAGGACATGTAATACACCCAGTTCATCTGAATACACAGCAACCAGCAAAATCTGGCTGCTCTGGGTGCCTTCTGTGAGCTCCTGACCATGCCTGCTTAAATAACGACTCAGTGGCAAAACAATCATCAATTTGTTCTTTAGAAATATTTTAGGTTTTAAATAGCAAATTATCAGCATTTCAAAAAGTGACCCCTTGAAATTGCTTAATGCTGCACTGAAGATGCTGGCAGGTGAGAAGCCTTAAAAATGGTCTTTGAAGTCAGCAAAGCCAAGACTGGACCTTATGGAAAAGGGAAAAGGAGATATGGTACCTACAAGACAGGGGCTGGAACTGGATGAACTTCAGGCTCCCATCCAACCCAAACCATTCCATGATTCTACTTTGGTTTCTATTTTCTTTCAGAAATTTACCCCACTGCCATGGCTGAGGTGCAAACTTCTGCCAGCCTTTTATTTCTTCCCCTCCCTCATTTTTATCTGACCCCATATTGTTCCCCTGATGCTGTTCTGACAGAATGAAACAGGCAATCTCACACTTCATCATTAACAACATAAATTTCTAATTTTCCACTCAGGTCTGTAGCTCCCACAGCCACAATTAGCAGCTAGCACTGCTAGGAATTTTCTGCAGCTCCTGTGCATCCTGTTCAGAAAAGAAAAACTCTTACTAGTGAAAAACCTCCTCCCTCAAACAACTCTGAAGGCAGCCACTCATTCAGGATCACAAACTAATTGTTACATACAAATTCTGGTCAATAAACCCCCCACTTCCTGGAAATCTATAAACCTGGAGAAGAAATGCTGGTGAAACCCCCAGGATTCAATGACCAGCCAACTCTGCACAGTCTGTCTGACAGCACTGCCATCACCTGATAATAAAGATATTTTTTGCTTCCAGATGATTTAGTAGTAACAGGTTTCTGGTGCTAAAGTCCATTCTTCCAGCATATGGCAGCCACCAGCTCACACTGTTTCACCTCCAAACAACACCTGCATGCCAAAGGGAGCTTTTGGTAATGACTGAATTATTGATCCATAGAGAGTTGGAGAATCCCAGAATAGTTTGGGTTGGAAGGAACCTTAAAGCTCATCTCATTCCATCCTCTATCATGGGCAGGGACACCTAACAGTAGAGCAGGTTCCTCTAGGGAATAAATTGTTAAAGATTCCTAATGTATTTGGAATCCTTTCATAAATATGTAACTTGTTTTCTCAGTTTCTCAGACTGAAGTCTTTTTTTTCCCCCAGCAATTTAGGGGA